AAACAACAAACATACAGACAATATTTGAATCTCTGCCTTCAAACATAACTTGCATTACTACTCGAACTGCGGAATGGTGGTTAGGGTGCTCTACTCGCAGTGTGCGGGTCGTGGGTTCGAATTCCCATTCCACCAAACATGCTCGCCCTTTCAGCCGTGGGGGCATTATAATGTGATGATTAATCCCACTATTCGTTGGTAAAAGAGTAGCCCAAGAGTTGGCGGTGGGTGGTGATGACTAGTTGCTTTCCCTCTAGTCTTATGCTGCTCAATTAGGGACGGCTAGCGTAGATAGCCCTCGTGTAGCTTTGCATGAAATTCAAAACAAACAAACTATTACTTATATATGGTTAATTTATGTTTTAGAACAACTTCACAAATTTTCTATAATAGTTAACTGTTATCCCATTATCTATCACCCGTTTATGGTCTGATGGTTTTATTAAAAGCTATTTCTGTAGAAATGCTTACTTTTTAAGTAATAACTTCTGTACTATTTATTTCATAAATGTGTAGATTTGTTGAATATTATAGGGATGTTTTTGATCGGGTATACTTAAAAAGATAGAGAAGTTTACTAGCAAGGGCAGACCAAAAGCAGTTTTTCTTTATTTGGTCTCTAGATTCATTAAAATGTTGTTGTTGTTTTTTGGTGTCATAAGGATGGCCTAGAATGTCCCAGTTATTAGTGTGTCAGGCTGTGGATTTGGGTTCCGTGACTTCTTGCTCCATTATTGCCAAAAATAAATCATGTTTTACACTTATCTTTGAATGGCTGCACCTTGTTTATAAGAGTGACAGTCAAATCCCACTACTGACTCTGATTATCCCAAGATTTTGTGGTGTTGACCAGCTGTCTTCCCTCTAGTCTATCATTTCAAACTATTAGGGATGACTAGCACAGATAGTTCTCGAGTAGCTTTACGAAAATTCAACAAACATCTGTTATAAGAATGTATGTGCATATATACATACTTAAAAATGTGTGTTCAGTGTTGATTTATTTAGTTATTAAAAGTTCATTGAAAAATATAATTTCGCAGTTAGAACCATAACTTATTTTTAATGATGATTGAAATGTTTTATATAATAATCTGGGGTATTCTTGTAATCTTATGTATTACTTTTGGATTATTTTAAACAAAGACTGGTCTTAAAGTAATTTATTGAGGAATGAAGGTTTATGTTTATAATTTCAGATTTATTCTTGAGGTAACACCATAATTGTGGTTTATTTTTAAACGTCGGACATGAAGAACTACTATTCTTGTATTTTGTATGCTGGATACGCATCGTAGCTATGTTTAACATTTTAAATTTTCACTGATTTATTCAAATATAAGACAAAATAATTTAACATTCTTACGATTACAGGGGAAGAGCGGTGCTACCTTGGCCGATATAAAAACATGTCAGATTCATGTCATGTGGGGATGTGTAAGTGTTAAGTGATTTTGTATCTTATTTAAAGTAAAACTTTAACTGAACACTACATTACTTTTTCGTGCTGTGAGCTTGCGAATTTGTTTTGCTAGAAACGCTGATAAACTGTAGTGTTTTTTTTTCAAACTTATTTACCCCTTAAGATTTAGAAGCTTGTATATAAATAAGTAGAAAAATGTGAAGATGATAAAATAAAATAGACTTTTAGAGAAAAAAATCACCTTTAAAACTATGGTAATAATTGATTAACTTGACGACGTTTCGAGCAAACGCTCTTTTTCAAGCCAGAAACAAGCCAATGTATTAGGTGAATGTGTAGGACAGTAGGTGAATCATCAGCTAGTTCATTATTCTGTCCTGTAATGATTTTAAAGTGCCATCTATGAGTTGAATCTAACGAAAGGTATTCCACAAAATTATTTTATTTGCCAGTTTAAACTACATGTCTGGGAAATGCATTATAAAAAATGCTGGCTATATTTATGTTGTATGTGTAAAATAAAGAAATTGATTGTTCAGTTTTACTGGCTGATGTTAAAAATATATTTGTTTATAGATTCTGATTTCACCTGTCCAAACACAGGAGCATGGCCATACATATTTTCAATTCAGTATTTTGTCCTCCTCAAACTGATCTTGTTGACTTTGTTGTATGCCATATTCAGGTATGTATTGTTTTTAATAGATTACGTTAATATGCCTTTTGTTCCACTTCCTTATTTTGGTAATCTTGATAAAATTCCATTCCACTTTATCATTTAATTTATGAGTTTTTTCTTCATTCTATCCATCCTCTGGGAAATATTGTGAAAGAATTATTTTTCAGTTCTTTTGAATTGGAATTGATGTGTCATTAAATTCATTTGTCTATTAAATATTTGTGTTCAGAAAAAATACCAAGAATTATTATATATGTATTCAGTCTACGACATATAAATCAAATTCAACCATTATGTGCAATGGTAACCGTTATTTCTCAGAATTTGTAGTGCATACTGGAGGGATCTGATATAGATATTTTGACAATAAAGTTACAAGAAGTGACCTTTATTCTCTAGGTGATAATAATAATAAAAACTTTTTTATTTCAGCTAACATTTTGCCTTTGCGGTTTCATCAGGGTAACTGTTCCTTTAATTCTGTTTTAACGTTTAGTGCCACAGCATCAAAAATTGAGTGTGAGACTGAAGACATCTGGAGATTCCAGCGTTATCAGTTGGTGGTTGATTTCGCTAACAGACTAAGACTACCTGCACCATTGAGTGTGATCAGCTATGTAATCATCATTTGTGAATGGGCTTGGAATCTTATCAGTTGCAAACCTTGTAGGAGATGGGATGAGGTGGCTTATGTTTCTAAACTTCTTTAATGATTGTCCCTATTTTATTACTCATTGATAATAATCTAATAACAGAGAAATTAATTCTTATGTTAATAAATCATTATCGTTTAGTGAATATATAAAGTATCTTATTAGTATTTTATCCGTTTATGCAATAAGAAAGTAAATTTTTTTGTTTGAAACTTGTGAAGCATTTTATACATACATTAATACATGAATTGCTTTGTAGCTTTTAAAGTATGTTTTATTGGTTTGTTTAATAGAAATGTTAATTATGGTAAATGGTAAAAAATCTAAGTTATCTTGTTAGAACCTGATATTTATTTCACTTTGTTCATATAACACATTAACATTTAGAACTGTTGGTATATCCGATTAAGTGTGTGTGATCAAATATTGTTAGAACCTGCTACTTATTTCACTTTGTTCATATAACACATTAACATTTAGAACTGTTGGTATATCCGATTAAGGGTGTGTGATCAAATATTGTTAGAACCTGCTACTTATTTCACTTTGTTCATATAACACATTAACATTTAGAACTGTTGGTATATCTGATTAAGTGTGTGTGATCAAATATTGTTAGAATCTGCTGTTTATTTCACTTTGTTCATATAACACATTAACATTTAGAACTGTTGGTATATCCGATTAAGTGTGTGTGATCAAATATTGTTAGAACCTGCTATTTATTTCACTTTGTTCATATAACACATTAACGTTTAGAACTGTTGGTATATCCGATTAAGTGTGTGTGATCAAATATTGTTAGAACCTGCTACTTATTTCACTTTGTTCGTATAACACATTAACGTTTAGAACTGTTGGTATATCCGATTAAGTGTGTGTGATCAAATATTGTTAGAACCTGCTACTTATTTCACTTTGTTTATATAACACATTAACGTTTAGAACTGTTGGTATATCCGATTAAGTTTGTGTGATCAAATAGCTGTTAATAAGTACCTTATAATTATACTTAACACTATTGAATAGTGGTCAGTGACACTTTTTCTTCATTTCACCTATCCAGTGTATAGGTTTTTCTCATAGTGACTACAAAGCACGTTCACACCAACAGTGTAGTTGATGTTTTGTTGCACAAGTATGATATTCATTTTCATAATGTAGGATGGTGAAGGTGTTTTAGCAGTTGACAAAATGGCTGTCAGACGACTTACAGAGAAAGACTACAACTACTGGCGTCAACTCGCTCAGGAGTACAGTAACTTTCAGGAGGAGAAAGCCAAAGAAGATGACTTGCAGAAAAAACAGTTGGAAATGTAAGAACTACACAAGTTCCTACTCTAATCAACACATTAAAAATACGATTGTACAGTTCTTACAGTACACAAGTTCCTACTTCTAATCAACACATTAAAAATACGATTGTACAGTTCTTACAGTACACAAGTTCCTACGTCTAATCAACACATTAAAAATACGATTGTACTTAAATTAATTCTTGGTAAAGATATTAAAGTATAATATCGGCAATCTAATTTTAATGATACTACAAAAAACATTTGTGAGAAATGTAGATTTAAAAGAAATATTTCTGAAGAGGAAAAGGTCTGCTTAGAAATATGAAATGAATGTATATCAATCACGTTTATACAAAGAGTTATTGCTAGGACTAAGATTTACAACATTTTTTACAGATCTGAATGTTCTAGTTCAAGAAATAGTTTTCTCATGATATGAGAATTTGTGCATTACATTAATATTGTTCTTTTTTTTTTTAGCTTGAAATATATGTGAAATTACTATAGGATGTCATGATATTATTTGTAATGTTCCTGTAATAATATACATTTAAAGATATTCTATGCTACATCTAGGAACAGTTTTATTGACTATTCTGTTTTTTCTTACCATTCCAAAAAAAAGGTTTCTAACCATTTTGTCAGGTTGTTATGTGTGTATGGTCCGGATTCTTTACAGTAGGTGTCTGTGACTTGTTGGTGGTAAATTTCAACAATAAACAAACAGCATACAGTCCACTTGTTTTAAAATAATATATTTAAACAAGTCAAATATATATATTCATTACACAGTTGGTTATCAAAGTTGTATCCAGAGTTTTAAGTAATTGTCTGTTTTCCATCAAAGTCCATACAGGTTGGTTCAGTTACTTTAGAACCCAATTGACAAGACAAATTATTTCTTCTCTACTCTGTTATGACAATAAAAGCTGTGATAATTTCACTTTAAAAACTGCCACAATAAGCTCTTTATGGCTAAACTCACAATTATGCTGTCTTGATCTATATCTAACTCTATAACTCTGTCTTACTTGAAATACATTTTTTACACATTTATAGACTGACAGAGGCCTAGAACATTCCACACACTACGTGATATTATGATGCAATAATACTCAATTGAAACAATGAGAAAACTGAGAAGTTTCTAGTAACATGACTTAATAATACAGCAAGCACCAATTCACAGCAATTGAATTACAAGTTGTATGAATCGTACACAGTTACATAAACAAATCTGCAATAAACTCTCGCTTCTAAAAGTAACTAATTTTAACACTATTTCTATACTTGAACATCTAAATTGTAACACTTGCATTAACTTACAGTTGTGTATATCTAACACTTTTTTTTTAGTAAATTATTGTCGTACCTCTTTACTTTAGAATTTCTAGTACATGAAGAAATAATGAAACCATACAGTTTTCTTAACTAACAATATTAATAGCAGAATGAGATTATGGAGAATATAGATGGTTTTGGCTGACTACTAGAAACATTTGTGAAAAGATTTCAAATCAGGCCTTTTAAGGTACTCCTAAGATATTTTTTCATCAGTTAGTATAACTAGTAATTGTCAGAAAAAGTTCAAAACCTTATTTATTATTAGTATAGATCTACATTTATGGTTTAAAATTGTTTACAACTGTGGTTACCACCTCTTTCCTCAGTAATAACGAATTATTTTATAGGACCACAAGTATGAAAAGCAAACAATGAATAATCAGTATTCTTATATTCCTAATTACATGTACAACAGTTTAAAATCATATAATGAGGGAATTTTAAATGGAAAAAAAAACTTTTCAGGTTAACAACAATAGCGGAAGATGTTGAATATGAAAAGAATGTTTTGCGGCAGGTGAAAGGTCGAGTGGGGGAGTTGGAGAGAATGTTGAACTACTCGCAAGTTTATTTGGAAAGCATAAAACACATGAATCAAAGAGACGAAGGTTTGGCATTCTAGAAATTGTTCTTTTTATTTTTTAAACTGTTACAAAGAATAAAATCCCTTATTTTCACTTAAGGTAATTCCCTATTGTCAGTAAATGTACTTATGGCTTGTTCTGAAGTTATCTTAGTTTTTAGGAAATATCTTTATTTTGGGAATAGTTTAGTCGTAGATGTATTTAATAAGTTTTACTTGGACATTAAACAATTAACCAACAATTATATAATATTTCTGTACTGTTTAGAACCTTGATAATCTTGCAGTTCTATTACACACACGTACAAATTGAGCTTTGATGATTAAGCCGACTTTGAAGAATTGCAATGGAATTTGTTTTTTATATGAAAGTTAGCATTTCATAATCTACTTTTAACAAATAATAGTCTTTTATTTCATGTTCTACTACATGTTTTCAAGTGCTTAAATGAATTGTAACTTGTAATCGTAACCTTTATATGCATAATAATCTAAGTTAACTTGTTCCACCATAACATTTTTAAAGTGTTTTGTTTGTGACCAGTTTAAAAAATTTTACAAATCCAAGTTTCATGAAATAACTAAATCTAACAAGGTTCAAACAGTTCAAAAACTTTGTTTTGATTTTCTACACAATTATGGATGAATTTAAAAAAACATGGTTATTTTTACAGCTCCGCCTTCATGCCCTAAGAAAGGTAGGCATTGTTCGGAAAGGAAAAAAAATTTGGTGGCTGTGCCAAATTTTAAACTCTCTAGTCTGCATAGTTTCAGCCAAAATTTGCAAGTGCTGTTGGTTAGTGTGGCTATATTCCCTTTCTGTTGATTTATACAACTAGAAGGCAATTTAGCATGCAGTATTAATATATTAGAATATTTCTGTCACTCGTCTTACAAATGACCTGTAAATTAGATACTTTTCTGCAGATAAGATTCGTACAAAACTTTGGTTAACGGGAACACGTTAAATTCTGATCCTGCTGCTAACAGACTATCTTGATATCGCTTGATGTGCATGGCTAAATTTCATTAAATTAGGTGGCTTGATTCATTGCATGTTCAGCGAACTACTGTCCAGTTATCTTTTTTAAAGCACGTTCTATTTACCCAATACTCAGAACGTAGTCAGGGCTCTGTACACTTTCTTGCACGTCAAACCCCTTACCCCGGGACCAGAGTCCAGCGGTTTCCTGTTCCTGACAAGTATGTGGCATGGGAAGTAATGTGGATAGACTATGACCCAGTTGCTTACAGTCGGCCTCGGTCAGACTACCCCATGGCCCTGCAGCCTCACGTGGATGAAGATTTGTTGCTGTAAGTCTAGAAACTTGTATTCAACGCTAAAAATCCTAAAGTGTTGTACTTTAAGCAAAATAATATATCTAATTATTAATTTGTTTAACTTTTGAAAGGTTTCATTATAATAATTTAACATGAAACATCAGACTTTTGGTAACAAGAAAACATGTTTCATTTCCTAAACTTTAAAAATATCTTCAGGATAAAATAATGCACCAAATGTGGGGGAAATGTTATGTCAGGTCAATCTAAAGTAACGGGTAGTTATTCTAGTGTATATTTAAAAAAAGAACCAGAAATCAAATAATTTATTATCCAATTATATGAAACGGCTAGTTCCGTAGTTACTTTTGACACTTGCTTAAAACCTGTAATTATGAAATCTTGGCATTCACTAACTAATTTTTTTTTTAAGAAGCTACTTTGTTTCGGTATTTAAGTAATAGAGAACTGCATAACTAGAGTTCGTTATTTGGCATGAACACGATGTGTTTGTTTGTTTTTATTAATTGCAACAGTTGTTTCAAGTTTTGTTGTATACACTTTATATCAGTGTTACCTTTGAAGTTGACTTTTATTCTCACACATTAGAATAAACTATAAAAAATTTTTGTCTTTACTTTTTTTTTTCTATACCATTTTTCTCTTGGTGATTAATATCAAGGTTTGGTTTGCATTCCTCTGGTGGAGCTGGTTGTTATCAAGGTTGGGTTTGTACCCTTCTGGTGGTGGTGGTGGTGGTGATTGATATCCAAGTTGGGTGTACACCTTTCTGGTGGTGGTGGTGGTGATGATCGATATCCTAGTTGGGTTTACACCTTTCTGATGGTAGTGGTGGTAATTGATATACAGGTTGGGCTTGCACCATTCTGATAGTGGTGGTGGTTATTAATATCCAGGTTGGGCTTGCACCATTCTGGTAGTGGTGGTAGGGATTGATATCCAGGTTTGGGTTTTATACCATCCTGGTGGTGGCGATTGGTGTCCGGGTTTGGGTTTTATACCATTCTGGTGTTGACGATTGATGTCCAGGTTTGGATTTTATACCATTCTGGTGGTGGCGATTGATGTCCAGGTTTGGGTTTTATACCATTCTGGTGGGGGTGATTGATATCCAGGTTTGGGTTTTATACCATTCTGGTGGGGGTGATTGATATCCAGGTTTGGGTTTTATACCATTCTGGTGGTGGCGATTGATATCAAGGTTGGGTTTGAACTTTCTTTTAATGATCATCTGTTTTGCTATCTAAACTATGAACTGTCACATTTAAAGCTTGATATCAAAAGTAGAACATGTCTGAACTACACGTATTCCCTTCATGTAGGTTCTTTGGCTCTGGAAAGAAGTTTTTAAGTTTTGCTACTTTTTGATTTGACACCTTCATAAGCCATATTTGGGTGTTGCTTGTTTGATTCTGAATTTTTTGTTTTGATTAATTATGTGTTCAAATATAAAGTGATTTTGTTTACAGTTTACGAGAAAAACAAGGACTCGTGTTACCAACTTTCCAGTGGAACTCTCTGTGCACCAATCCTGCAGGTATCACTATTGACAGGCAGTCATGGATCATTGAAGGGGATGGCATGCCCCTCGTCTACAAGTTGGACCGAGAAGGTGTACCACGGTAAGACTGTAAAGAGTAAAAAAAAAAATCTCCTGAATATACTGCTTTCATTCTTGTTTATTACTTTGTTTTTAATATTTGGAAATTGTTGTTTTAAGTTCTGTCTTAGTATCATTTTAGGATGTTGGACCATGTTATAGTAAGTCAGTATTAACTGTACTAATTGCATTTGCTGTTTTACAGCTTACTAAATAATGCAATTTGCTACTGTAAATTAATGTTACAAAATATAATTGGTACCTAAAGGTAAAAAAAAATATCTTTGAAAATTTTCAAACCATTGTTACAATGCGAGTTTATTTTAGAATAAGACTATTTATGGTATAGAATGTATACATGTTTGTGTCATATATATATATAATGAAAAGATAGAAAAATGTGAATAACTCTAGGAGATAAATCATCTTAAAAATATTTTTTATTTTTTTCAAGCCAGAAATAAGGCTTTTGGTTAATTTCAAACTACTGTAGAAGACAGACCAAAGTTCTGTCAAAACATGTAGTATGTTCCTAAAACTAAAATCACTTTATTGTGCTTATAAATCACTTGTCAATTTGCTATTATATTAACACATTGTGCTTCATTACGCAAGTACCACACATAACATTGACCACTTCATAGAGGGTTACATTACACAAGTATGGTACATAACGTTGACCACTTCATAGAGGGTTACATTACACAAGTATGGTACATAACGTTGACCACTCCATAGAGGGTTACATTACACAAGTATGGTACATAACGTTGACCACTCCATAGAGGGTTACATTACACAAGTATGGTACATAACGTTGACCACTCCATAGAGGGTTACATTACACAAGTATGGTACATAATGTTGACCCCTTCATGAAGGGTTACATTACACAAGTACGGTATATAATGTTGACCACTTCATGAAGGGTTACATTATACAAGTACGGTACATAACATTAACCACTTCATTGAGGGTTACATTACACAAGTATGGTATATAATGTTGACCCCTTCATGGAGGGTTACATTACACAAGTACGGTAAATAACGTTGACCCCTTCATGATTGGTTACATTACACAAGTATGGTACATAATGTTGACCCCTTCATGATTGGTTACATTACACAAGTACGGTACATAATGTTGACCCCTTCATGATTGGTTACATTACACAAGTACGGTATATATAACGTTGACCCCTTCATAGAGGGTTACGTTACACAAGTATGGTATATAATGTTGACCCCTTCATGATTGGTTACATTACACAAGTACGGTACATAACGTTGACCACTCCATAGAGGGTTACATTACACAAGTACGGTATATAATGTTGACCCCTTCATGATTGGTTACATTACACAAGTACGGTATATAATGTTGACCACTTCATGATTGGTTACATTACACAAGTACGGTACATAACATTGACCCCTTCATGATTGGTTACATTACACAAGTACGGTATATAATGTTGACCCCTTCATGATTGGTTACATTACACAAGTACGGTATATAATGTTGACCCCTTCATGATTGGTTACATTACACAAGTATGGTATATAATGTTGACCCCTTCATGATTGGTTACATTACACAAGTACGGTACATAATGTTGACCCCTTCATAGAGGGTTATGTTACACAAGTACGGTATATATAATGTTGACCCCTTCATGATTGGTTACATTACACAAGTACGGTATATAATGTTGACCCCTTCATGATTGGTTACATTACACAAGTACGGTATATAATGTTGACCCCTTCATGATTGGTTACATTAAACAAGTACGGTACATAATGTTGACCCCTTCATGGAGGGTTACATTACACAAGTACGGTACATAATGTTGACCCCATCATGGACTTCTGTGACTATAAAGCATGCAAGGCATGATATTTTAGTATTCAAAGAAAGGAGTACCTTAACTGAGTGCTTAACTGAATTGGTAAAGCAAGGGAAGGCATAATTCCAGCAGGATGGAAAATGGACTATTGTATCGTTGGGTACCATTTGTATGCTGCAAATACTAACGAAAGTTACATGGTTTGTCGCCAGAAGTAACCCAACAATACAGCAGTTTATTGTACTTAAAGTAGGAATCTTTTTTTTATAACTGTTGACAAGGAAATTTACAAGTGTAATTTTACAAAAGTAGCACAGGGGCTTTATTCACACAAATCACACAGTTCAGTAGAAGATTGTCTGACTTGTGACAAATGGAATACTCTATCATATTAGACAAGTAATCATCATGTCTATGGAAGTCTCCGCAGTTTGTTGTTGTCTTTCCAGTGACAAAGTTTTTCCTAGGGAATTTTTTATGGTCTTAGGTTACAGCTATAATGGAAAGTTAACATCTAGGGAGTCGAGAAAAATATCAAGGTGGATTCTGTATATTATCTGTATGGATTGAACCACACACACATCCAAGTCAACGCGATAGTTCCCCTCCAAGATGAAGTACAAACAAAAATTCAAGCTACATCGTTTGTTGAGATTCTTCATAGTCTTCTTTGCCTTTTGGCTGCTTAAACAGGCCATTACCCACTCTTTACATGCTCAACAAATCCAAGAAGGCATTCTGAAGGAAGCTTTCATACAATACATTAAGGTCACTACTCTTCTCCCACTCTTTACACGCTCAACAAATCCGAGAAGTCATGCATAGATGACAACTTTAATACATTAAGGTCACTACTCTTCTGTATGAAAGCTTCCTTCAGAAGGACTACTTGGATTTGTTGAGCATGTAAAGAGTGAGAGAAGAGTAGTGACCTTAATGTATTGTATGAAAGCTTCCTTCAGAATGACTACTTGGATTTGTTGAGCGTGTAAAGAGTGGGAGAAGAGTAGTGACCTTAATGTATTGTATGAAAGCTTCCTTCAGAATGCCTGTATTGGCCTAGGTACTGTTACGTCTCTGTATGTTTGTTTGTTAA